TTTGTTGTATGATGCAGTCGACTACAATCAGAAATATCATGGGTGATAGTAGACAGCCTTGTTTTACTCTTATCTTCACTTTAAAAGCATCATTGAGCTTCCCATTGTCAATTACCAGAGAATATTAATTTGCAATTACTTTACTGATAAAAGTAATCCTATTTATTAATAAATGAAGGGATCTCAAGAATAACTGTAGTGTAGAAAAACATTTACCCGGGAGCCAATGAAATAAATCTTGTGTTTGAAAATATAGAAAATATTGTATTTTTTTTCAGATGAATAGGAATTTATAATTTAGGAGTAGTAATTATCATGGACTGTCATCAGTTGGGGAACCATTGAAAATTTGGGAGCACTGGACAGCTGTTTCATCCAACTTGTATGGGACTCCTAAACAGTACACACCCACGACCTGGCTAGGGGTCAAACTCAGGACCCATGATGAATACTACTTCTAAATTAAAAATCCATATTCACCTCAAAAGTACATTACTGTATAGTGCTCGTTAGTGACTTGCTTCCAGATGGATGTCACGAAGGTCTAATGAGAAACCGTGACCTCTGGGGTAAACCAATCGTAAATGAAGCGGTTACTAACTGAAGACCTTGGGTGACAGTCACGCTATGTTGTGAATTGACAGAAGTTGGAAATTGTGAACCACTGTGAACTGACCCATTGACTGAATGGTTAACGAGTTCGCCGTGAAACCTGTAGGTGATGAGTTCGATCGGTGGTCGGGTAGTGGGTGTGTACTGTTGAGGAGTCCCATACTAGTTGGAGGAGATAGCTGTCCAGTGCTCTCAGATTTTCAATGGTTCCCCAACTGATGACAGTCCATGATGAATACTACTTCGATATACTAAATAGGAATTCACAGATGGATAGATGGGAGAAAGTGAAACTCCCTTAAGATTTCTCCTGTTCATGGTGATTGGAGCTCATTATCATTGTTGTTGGTTGGGTATCTCCATCACCTGTATCTTCTCTACGTTCACCTGAAGGAAGTTCCGTCTTTCTTTATCGCCCTGTCTTACCTCGCCTCTCCTGTCCACTTGTGGGTTTTCGCCTCTACACTTTTGGTTTTGTGCGACAATACATTGGACATAAATCATCATCGTTGGCCAAATGCAAATCTTCTTCTGGGTTCTTTTCATCGGTCCATCCGGTGTATGCCCATCTTCTCACAGCTCCTCACAGTTGCTTCTTGCATCATCCAGTTCAGTCGACCATAATCATGATAATGATGATGATGGTAGGCGGCGACCTTGTATCACTCCTGTCTACTGTCTTCACTTCAAAGGCATCTCTGAGGTTTTCATTTCAAATCACTTACCATGTAGCTCCTGTTGAATGAGGTTGATATAATTTGGTGGTACTAAAATCGTAGTGTTCAACCAGCTGCTGCCAAACTAATTCTCGTTCGACGCTATCAAAGGACTGATAAGTATATTTTGTCATTCCCGTTTACTAAACCATAAAACGACTAATGTCTCATAAAGAAGAATATAATTGATGTACGAGTAAAATAGATATGAAGTTCCAGTCTAATTTTATTAACATCAAGTGAGTACTTTAGATTGTTTTGAAGTAAACCTCAAAGTATGAATGCCATGGTAATTCATATTTTGAAGCCTTTGATCTGTATGCAAAAGAAATTTCTTAGGTTAACAGACCTAAATTCGACATAACCGTTGTGAAAAATTTCATATTTGAAAAAAGGTTCTTTTGATTCCTTTCATATCCCACTATGTTTTCTCTACTCTTAACAAATCCATCTACTTAACTAATGTAATTTCAGCTTATTGAACTGTATTCAATTCTTTCAACTATATTTCAATATCCTATCTAGTTAGTTTAACACATATTTTATCTTATTGTAGTATGAATGTAAGTACTCGTTAACCTGTAATATGTCTCACTTGGATTCATTATTCAAACTTCATCTAAACGTGTGATTATCGGATAGCATAACTTCATACACAAATTCTCTATAATGAATATGAAAGGGGAAAGAAAAACAATGTGAACAGGATAAAACAGACATAATTTATTTTGATGGTATCCTATGTACTGCTTATAACCCAGAATATCAAAATGCACAGATTTAGTGAGAACTTATCACATTATCATTATTATTATTATTATTATTAATATTTGTCCCTTGGGTTCCTACTCGAACGTACAGATTCAGTACCACGTCTCCATTACACTCTCTTCTCTGCAATCTTCTCAACCTGATTCCACCAAGGCCCACAAGCTCTCATTTCTTCCTCATACCATCTCCCAAATGTCACACTCTTCTCACACGAACAACTCGTCCTTTCCCATCTGCGTTCCACTCCACCAACAGGTATGACGCCTGGTGTCCCCAGTCCGCCTTCTCAGTGTATGCTCAATCCAATCCATCTCCATTCCTCTCTTCTGCATATTTGTTCACCGATAGCTTCTTGCTTCGTTGGTTCGTTGTCAGCTAGACTGAGTTCCTTGTTGATTATTCTTATTATCGTGGTCATCTGATTTGATATTCAGTAACGAGCCAGTGTAGGCAGTTGTTGATGAATATCTGTAGTTTGTTGGAAATACATTTCGTAACGCGCCAAGTCTGTCAACCATGTAGGAACACTGACTTGACGTTGGTGTCCAAAATCCGGATGTTGTTCACGCTTTATGCTGAGTGAAATGCAGTGCAGTGCAGTGCAGTGCAATAGATCCCCACACTGGTTTCACGTTAATCAACTTCTGTCTCGCTGTCTTTCCCATCCTGGCTGTCTTTGACGTCCCCGTCTCTGTCTATGCCACCGCCTGTCGTTGAAACGATGCTGCTGCCTAGGTAGGTGTAGGTGTATGTGTAGGTGTAGGTGTAGGTGAAGGAGGCTAATTGCTTTAAGTTTCTCCCGTTGATGGTGATTGGTGTTTGTTGTTGTTGTTGCTACTGTTGGAGTTGTTGGTGCGGTATCTTCATCACCTCTGTCTTCTCTATATTCACCTGAAGTCCCATCTTCGCTGCCTCTTCTGCTAACTTGTTAGTTTTTGCCTGTAGGTCTTCAAGTTTGTGTGACATCAGGCACAAGTCATCGGCGAAATCTAGATCTTCTAGGTTCTTTTCCGCAGTCCAGCGTATGCCCTTCTTCTCGCTCCTCACTGTTTGTTGCATGATCCAGTCGACTACAGTCAGGAATATCATGGATGATAATAGACAGCCTTGTTTTACTCTTATCTTCTCTTCAAGAGCATCACTGAGCTTCCTATTTTAGTGAAAACTTAACATGCTTTAATTCCTAAGGTGGTATTTATCACAGATTCACATCAGTCGGAGTACTGTTGAAAATCTGAGAGCACTGAACAGCTTTCTCATCCTTGTTAACAATAGTAGGACCTGCAAGTTTCACGGTGATTCAGTCGATTTTTGAATGGTCCATAATTTCCTGTCTCTATCAGTTCATGCAATTGTGCATCTATCATCCAAAGTGTTCAGTTGGCATTCGCTTCACTTCCACCTGGTTGACCTTACTAGTCAGTGGTTAAGAAGAACAGAAACAGTCATCGAGTAAATGTCAGTCATGGTGCGAAGTTCAAAAAGGGTTCATAAATGGTCATAATTATATGCATAATCTAATTGAAGTCTCCAGAATAAAATAATGACAATGGTGCAATCAAAACATTAAGGGAATTGATATGATATGATTACTTAAGTAGGTCTTACGATAAATAAGCGAAATAGTGCACTTTAGGCTGCTATTCATCATGAACTGACATAATTTGGAGGAACATTGGAAAACTAGGAGCACTAGACAACAAGTTCTTTCGTCCTTGTGTGCAACTGCTAACCAGTGCATATTTATGACCCCGCCTTCCCAGGGATCTAGCCTAGGATATTCAGGTCTAGTGACTAGCACGTTACCTTTGAGCTGATGAGTCGAAATCCAATGGTCCATATTTCCAACTTCTGTCAATTCACAAGTAAATGGATAAACATTTAGAAAGAGTTACCAGAATAGATAGAGTTCGGCTATGACTTCCTGTTGAACACACATAGATTAGGTCTAGGACATTTAATGTCTATGGCTTCAGCAAACTTCAGTAGAACTGAGCTCATTTGTTTATCTATTATCTGTAAGGTTCGATGTTCAATGTTATTCAGATGTTCAATGTATGTACTGTTTAAACTGTTACCTCAGCTACAGTTGTCAGCCATTTGGAATATGTTCGTAAAAACTTTGGTACGCCCAAATTTTTTGTTCTTCCAATGAATCTGCTTTAGTGGCTACACGTAAACAGTTGAAGTTGACATTAGAAGGGTACTTGTTCATAGTCTGTGTATTGTTATTCGAGTAGAAAAAAAAAGGAAGGAACTATATCATTCCCTTATTCAGCTGAAACATAAAACAGTTGGAAAGTCCACTATGAATGTCATTCATATTCATTTACATTTCTATTATCTACTAATAAATATCACTTAACAAGTATCACATCTTTTTAAGTTATTGTTTTTCTTTTAAATTTTTCGAGATGAAGAGTATTTTGAAAAAAAGTGAGTAAGGGTAGCAAAAACAATGGAAAATTTGGCAACCTAAAATTTATAAAAATAGTTTGAATAATAACAATGTTAAAAGTCAATCAAGTAGTATAGACTACAAGATAAGAACTGAAATGATTAACCTCCTACAGTTCTATATCAAAAATATTTACAACTTTCAACACCATGGAAATTAAAGTGTATATATGTCATAAGAGGGATGGATATACTAGAGATTTTCTTGAATTCTGATTGGTTCATTATACAAGTCTATACAGATTCCCTATTAGCCTACAATAAATTGACTTATTTTCTATACTAGTTAACATTATATAATTAAATTGTGAAATCGCTTTCATTAATTGTTAAGATTACACTAACTCTTCATTTTTTTTTGAATAAATGATAACTTATACTACTATCAAATATTTCGCATTAAAACAATCATATTGATATCATTTTACCCGTGAATATTTAATTTATTGAAGTTCTGGGAATAGTTTTTTTCCCTTCTGATCTCACTATTTATTCAACGAATCGAATCATATCTATCATATGAGTAAGTATCTATTAAGATGTGTAACCTTCAGTTTTATACCATTCATAAAATATGTTTATAAATTAATAATAAAGTAGACTACACAAAAACGGATACTCTAAGGTATCATTTCATTGATATTACTGTCAATTTTAAACTATATAGTTGAAAGTATATTAGTCTATTGTTGAAGAAAAGATAACTATTTCTAACTGAGATAAGGTTTGCTTCTTTAGTTTAGCTTACTTTCATTTACTTCAGCAAGAAGAAAGAGGTTAAAAATATGGTTTTCATCAGTAGACTATATGAATATTATGCAAACAAAATGATATACAATGTCATTTCGCTTAGAAATTGAGTTTACTAAACTTTTTACAGTATTCAGAATGGGCTTTTTATCCTATTTGACATGTTTACCACAGTAAGTGATGTTTTCACTAATATTCTAACTCAATATGTACCGAGTTTCAGTAGGTCAATCTAGTTGACAAGTCCTAAGTAGAACAAAACGCTCATTTTTAGTTCCACTGCTAGTCAACAAGATGAATAAAACATTGTGAATATTTGAAACCATCAACGCATGCACAGAGGAGTGCATGGGCTAACCGAGATGGAGGAAATTATAAGTTTCAGAAGAAAGCGGAGATGGATTGTGCATATACTGAGAAGGCCGATTGGAGACATCAAGTGCCAAGCCAGGCACTCGAGTGGAAACCAGATGGGAAACGATGAGTTGGGCATCCAAGGTGAGGGTGACATGGAGTAGATCATATGAGAGGAAAAAATGAAAACCTATTGGCAAGTGGCAGAGCGAAGTTGAAAAGATCACAGAGAAGGAAGTGAAATTGAGGCATGCTACTCAAGCCGTATGTTCCACTAGGAACCCAAAATGAACAGATTTTTCGGGAAGTAAACATGATTCGTAAACTTGAGATTTATTTCAATAAGTAGTTTCTTTTTAAGTGGAACCGTGGTAACTATAATAGAATTTTGTTTTATATAAAAAATGAATAACTTATTACTGAGTAAAATTAAAATATTAGCTAGTTACGGTACATATTCACTTGAGTGGCTTTTTTCAAATAAGATAAAATGTAAGTGTACTTTGTTAAGTTTTACGACTTTTCAACATCACATACTGTTGTTATTGTATCATATCTTTGAAAAGATCATAAACGATAACGATACATCAAAAATATATTTTATCATTGAAAAGAAACTTTTGTCTATGTAACCTGATGATATAAATGAGCTCCTTGCAGTTATGAGCATTTTATCTCATTTTCTACTAGATTTAGTTTAGCTCCATATTATATCATCTTCAAGAATATCAAATATACCATAGTTTACTTACTATGTGACTGCATAAGATCAAAGAAGTTACTGAGAGATCTGACAAGGGACTGAGAAAAGTACTATTGTGTATCTGCAGTAAGAATGTAGAGTATAGTGTGTGTTTTGAAGGCCAATGATTTGACGTCAGTGTATGAAGCGAAGTTATTGAGTTTGTTTGTTTCATAAACACCGAACTTAAAAGTTTCGGCATTAGCGATGTATTATTATTTTTCTCTTGGGTTCCTAGTGGAATGTACCGACTCAGTAACACGTCACCATTCCACTCTCTTCTCTCCACTCTTTTCAACCTCGCTCCTCCACTCCCCACAAGCTTTCATTTCTTCCTTACACCATCTCCTCCATGTCACCCTCACTTCGGATGCCCAACTCATTGTTTCCCCTTTGAATTCTACTCAAGATTCTGGCCTAGTGCATGATGTCTCCAATCGGCCTCTTCAATGTATGCCCAATCCATCTCCAATTTGTTCTTGTGCATATTTGTTGAGTGATAGGTTCATGGATGGTTCGTTGTCAGCCAGAGTGAGTTCCTTGTTGCTTATTCTTTCTGACCACTTGATCTTATCTTCAGTGTCAAGTGAGCGTGGGTGACAGCTGTTGATGAATGTCTGTAGTTTGTTGGAAATGCTTTTCGTGACACGCTAAGTTTCTCAGCTATACAGAAGTACTGGCTTGATTGAATTAATGTTGAAAATCCTAATCTTGTTCTTTGTGTAGACTGCAGTGCAATAGATCTTCATACTGATTATTTGAGATTAGTAAAGACCAATTCAATGGCTAAAGAAATTTTCTAGTAGAAAGAAAATATGAAAAAAAAAATGAAAACATTGATGATGTAGTTAATCAATATGTAATGAACAATAGTTCATTTACAAAACAATAGTAAATATTTTTAATATCCAAAAATATTGATTCATTCAAACAATGAAAGTAAAACTTTAATTGAAATTTTATTTGTTAAAATTTTTCCTCAAAGTACTCATTCATATAAATCTACTGAATAAGTTTTGAAATAAATTTTTCAGTGAATACTATTCTAAGCAGTTGGTCAAGTATGATGAGAAAACAATAACCTTATCTCATCCTTTTTAGAATTATAATCCTCTTATAATGGTATACATGACTAAAAATTAGAAAATACTTTTTCCAAAATTTTCTCATTCATTTTAAGATAATTTAACTATTAAATTTTATTACCTAGTTTTTACTTCAACATTTTATATCTTGATACTGGCTGATGATTGAAGGTGAAATGAAGATTTGAAACATGACTGGATTCCAACTAGGTATCATTAAATTTCTAGCCCACTGAAATACTAGCTTACCTACAAGATTTCATTGATGATCAGATTTTTATTCAATTCAGTCACTAAAAGTTTATGCTCAACGACTATCAGACTTCTTGGTCGATGACTGGAATCCTACAACTGTTCGAATTTTTATTTCACCATCAATTATTATGCAGTACCAAACTATGGCTATCTCAGATATGTTGTTATTTATGCATTAACTCCATCTAAACTTCGTCAAATTCACAATGGGAAGCTCAATGATGCTCTTGAAGTGAAGATAAGAGTAAAACAAGGCTGTCTACTATCACCCATGATATTTCTGATTGCAGTCGACTGCATCATACAACAAACAGTGAGGAGCGAGAAGAGAGCGATACGCCGGAACAGAGAAAAGAACCTAGAAGAGGTGAGGCAGCGAAGGAAGATGGGACTTCAAGTGAATGTAGAGAAGACAGAGGTGATGATGATACCCAACCAACACCACCACCACCACCCAACAACAACAACAACAAACACCAATCACCATCAACGGGAGAAACTTAAAGCAATTAGCCTCCTTCACCTACACATACACCTACCTAGGCAGCAGCATCGTTTCAACGACAGGCGGTGGCACAGACAGAGACGGGGATGTCAAAACCAGCCAGGATGGGAAAGACAGCAAGACAGAGGTTGATTAACGTGAAACCAGTGTGGAGATCTATTGCACTGCACTGCACTGCACTATATTGCACTCAGCATAAAGCGTGAACAACATCCGGATTTTGGACACCAACGTCAAGTCAGTGTTCCTACATGGTTGACAGACTTGGCGCGTTACGAAATGTATTTCCAACAAACTACAGATATTCATCAACAACTGCCTACACTGGCTCATTACTAAATATCAAATCAGATGGCCAGAAAGAATACGCAACGAAGGAACTCTGGCAACGAACTTACCAACCATGAACCTGTCACTCAACAAATATGCAGAAGAGGGGATTGGAGATGAATTGGATTGAGCATACACTGAGAAGGCGGACTGGGGACATCAGGCGTCAGGCCTGTTGGTGGAGTGGAACCCAGATGGGAAAGGACGAGTTGTTCGTGTGAGAAGAGTGTGACATTTGGGAGATGGTATTGGAAGAAACGAGTGCTTGTGGGCATTGGTGGAGCCAGGTTGAGAGGATTTCAGAGAAGAGAGTGTAATGGAGATGTGTTACTGAATCTGTATGTTCCAGTAGGAACCCAAGGGACAAATAATAATTATAAACTTAGTCAAGTTTACTTTTTCATCTTGAATAGTAGTTCATTCTTAACATCTCACTTTCATCATAATTGATATTTCGTATATGTAAAATGTGTATTTGAATTGATATGAAACAGAAAAAACTTGGAGATAATTTAGTACACTTGAGGAAGTCTATCCCTACAATACATAAGTGTTTTCTTATCATGAGAATTCAAATAGAATAGTATGTGTATTGCAAAAAACTCTTAGATAACGATATCAATGTGAATTCCCTTTCCTAAATGACAATTTTTTATCCATATAATAACATGTTTTACCTATCTGACTTCTAAGATACCAGTTTAAGTTATCGTTTTCCACTGCTTTCATATATTGATTCAGTAGCGAAGACAATTAGTAATCAAAGTTAATAGACTATTCAGTTTATACTCACTTGATAACTTGAAGTATATCAAATTGTTTAAATCAATCATATTTTAATGAGACAATATTCATTTATTAGACTGAATAGGTTTCAACTGTGCGGTAACCTGATGAAGGCTATTCGATATGTTGTTCTTATCAGTTCATCGAAGCAGTGGTAATCAAGAAGAAAGAAGATAGAAAAAACTACAGTTGAGATTAAAGAACTCTTCATCCTCACAAAGATACATCTGAAAAAAAGGATGGTGAGGAAAAACATGAGTTGAAAAGGGGTCATGAAAATCATGGGTGAGCACTGCTAGAGAGTCCCCTACTAAGATGAGACAGCTGTTCTCTACTCCCAGGTTTCCAATGTTTCTCTGACTGATATCAGTGCATGATAAATTCGAACAACAAAAAACACTTAAAAAGGGTTTATCAAAGCGTCATACTGATCATAATGGTTGATTGGACTGAGATGATAAGTCTCTGTTGGCATATGTGAGGATGCCTCGATATTGCCTGTATTTAATTATGCATAGTAATGAAAGACAGTGGCTAGCAGTGATATCCAGGATGCGAATTTCCTCCTATTTGGGACTCACTGGTCAGTTGGATGTACCTGATGCCTCCCAGTGAGTGATCTTGTTCCCAACAGGACTCGGACTAGGGAGCGATCGCTTCAAACACCAGGGTGTTATCCACTACACCACCGAGTCACGATAGTCACTTCTTGGGAG